AAGACTCCGTCTTAAAAAAAAAAAAAAAAAACAAAAAGACTTTTTCAGCACAAAATTTGAGAAAATTAAGTTACCAGAAGCTAGCTCTACAGAAAATGCTTAAAGTCCTACAGGCTAAAGGAAGATGATCCTAGAAAGGCAACATCGAAATGACAGAAAAACAAAGCACCGATCACACACAAGACTGAAAAATAATGAAAAGTACCAGAAAAGTAAGGGATATATAAAAGATATATATTGATATTAAAAACAACAATAATAATGACTTGTGAATTTTAAGACTACAAGAAATAAAATATTGATAATACTAGTCCAAAGATTGGGACTGCTCGAACGCAATTTCATTTACATTCAGGACAGGTCGGCACCATACATGGCGGTGCACAACTTACGAGACTTAGACAGACCGTGGAAGTTACAAGAAAAGGAAGAATGAAAAATCAGCCAGGTCATGTGACCGCCTTGACCCAGCACTTGAGAAGGCCGAGTGCAGATTTAATATTAGTGTGCCGAAAGGCAGGTATGGATGACAGCTGGGCAACAAAAAAGTACTCTATCTGTCTCTGCAATAAATTTAAAAAATAAAGCTATGTTATCAGTGGCGATGACTATTTAGTTCGCATTGGAGCTGAGGGGGAGGATCACTGAGCTCAGAAGGTTTGAGGCTACAGTGCTAGATGGCATCACGTACCCAGCCGAGGGCAGAGCGATGACCACTATCTCTAAAAATAAATAAAGAAATAATAACTAATAGATAAATAAATAAAAGAAATATCGCCCACTTCAACCACCACAATATTAAAATCGCAAGCATAGAACATCACTATTGCTAAATGGCAAAGTGAAGAAGAAGTTGGAGATGAATAGCATATACATAGTCCCCTATATAAGTTTGCCTCCCCATGAGACTAAAAATCTATGAGAGGAAGAAAAAATAAAAAAAAGTAATTGTATGGTGACCTGGTACAACATGAAACCCGAAGTACAACAGCTCAGTAATGGATGAAAAATAACCGGCTCTTAATTGGGAGTCACTGATATATACAAGTAACCTAGTCAATATTCCTGCCAGAAAAACTAACCTGAGCCGAATCATGAAAGCAATTAACCAAACTGGCAAGAGACATTCGGACAAAGATACTGGCCGCTATTTTTTCAAAAATTGCAAGGCCCATTAAAGACGAAAAAAAAAGTCTGAGGAACTATTCCAATTAAGGAAGACCTTAAAGCAGAGCTGGGTGCAGTGATCATGGCCTGTAAACCACACTTGGGAGGCAAGGCAGGTGGATCGCTTGGACAGGAGTTCAAACCAGTCTGGCCAACATAGTGGGGACCCCCGTGCTCTGATCTCTGTACGTGAAATACGAAAAATTACTGATGGTGTGTGCACGCCTGTAATCCCAGCTTCTTGACTGAGGAACAAGAATCAGTTGACCCAGGAGCAGTGAACCTGTACCACTGCACTCCAGCGCTGGCAACACCAGTGAGACTCTGTCAAAAAACAAAGACCAAAAAAGAAAGGGAAAGAAGAGAAGGAAGAAGAAGAGAGAGAGAAGAGAAGAGAAAGAGGAAAAAAATGAGAAAGAAAAGAAAAGAAAGGAAGGAAGGAGGAGAGGAAGAAAGGAGAGAAGGAAGGAAAAGAGAGAGAGAAGACAAAGAAAAAGGGAAGGAAGAGAGAAGAAGTAAGAAGAGGGAGAAGAGAGTGAGAAATAATAACTAATAGATAAATAAATAAAATGAAAATCGCCACTTTACAACCACCACAATATTAATTAATCCAAGCAAGAATCATCACTGATTGCTAAAGCAAGTGAAGAAAAGTTGGATGAGAATAGCATATTTACATAGCCCCAAAGTTTTCCCCCATGAATTACTCACTAATCATAAGAGGAAGAAAAGAAATTTTATATTGGAGAAACCTGGTGGTACCTCAATCATGACCAAAGTTAACACAGCCAGTAATGGGATGAATAAAATCCTTGTGCCTCCTGATGTGAGACACTGAAAAAATACAAGATTACCTAGTCAATATTCCTGCCAGAAAAACTAACCTGAACCGAATCATGAAGCAATACCAAACTGAAGAACATTCGACAAAATAACTGGCCGCTACTTTTCAAAAATGTCAAGGCCATTAAAGACGAAAAAAAGTCTGAGGAACTATTCCAGATTAAGGAAGACTAAAGCAGGCTGGGTGCAGTGACTCATGCCTGTAATCCCAACACTTTGGGAGGCCAAGGCAGGTGGATCGCTTGAGGACAGGAGTTCAAGACCAGTCTGGCCAACATAGTGGGACCCCCCTGCTCTGATCTCTACTAAAAATACAAAAAATTAGCTGGGCCTGGTGGTGCACGCCTGTAATCCCAGCTTCTTGGGAGGCTGAGGAACAAGAATCAGTTGAACCCAGGAGGCGGAGGTTGCAGTGAACCGAGATTGTGCCACTGCACTCCAGCCTGGGCAACACAGTGAGACTCTGTCAAAAAAACAAAAAACAAAAAAGAAAGAAAGAAAGAAGGAAGGAAGGAAGGAGAGAGAGGAAGAGAGAGAGAAAGAGAAAGAAAAAGAGAAAGAAAAAGAGAAAGAAAAAGGAAGGAAGGAGAGAGAAGAAAGGAAGGAAGGAAGGAAAGAGAGAGAGAGGAAGACAAAGAAAAAGGAAGGAAGGAAGAAAGGAAGAAGGGAGGGAGGGAGGGGAGGGGAAGGAGGAGGAGGGGAGGAGAGGGAAGAGGAGGGGAGAGGAAGGAAGACTAAAGAGACATGTCAACAAAATGTAATGCGTGATCCTTGCTGAGATCCTGGACTGGGGGAATTTTGCTGTAGAGACAGCTGGTGAAATGGGAATAAGAATGTACAGATGCTCCTCAACTCATGAAGGGGCTGCATCCTGATAAACCCATTGTTAAAACATATCACACGTTGAAAACACATTTACTGCTCTGTTATACCAGTCATAAAGATGAAAAATCATAGCTCGAACTATCATTAAATCCAGATGCTCCTCGACTTACCATAGGGCTATGTCCCAAAAAGCTCATCACAAAGTCGAACAATCATAATCGAACGATCATACGCTGGAGACCATCTATATAAGTATTTGTAAAATGTCTTAATTTTTAGAATTGCACTACGGTTACATAAGCGAATGTCTTTGTTCCTGAGAAATACACACTCAGGTGTTCTGGGACAAAGGGTCCTGATTTCTGCAACTTGGTGGCTCAGTGGTTCAGAAGAAAGCGGTGAAAAAGCAATGTGGAGAAATGTTAACAAGTAGTGGAATTGAGTGAAGGGTATGTGGAGTTCCTTCATACTCTTCTTACAACTTTTCTGTAAGTCTGAAATTATTTCAAAATAAACGTTTTTTTTTTTTAAGCTAATATAACTGGGCATGGTGGTGTTTACCTGTAGTCCTAGCTGCTCAGGAGGCTGAGGCAGGACGACGGCTTGAGTCCAGGGGCTCGAGGTTACAGTGGGCTACGACAGCACTACTGCACTCCAGCCTTGGTGACAGAGCAAGACTCCACATCTAAAAATAATAAATAAAAATAAAAACATTAATGGAGGACAAAATATAATGATAAAAAATACTTGATTAATCCAAAGAAAGGCAGGTAAAGGAGAAATAAAGGAATAAAGAGCAGATGAACAAAGAGAAAACAAGCAGCAAAATAGGACTTAAACCTATTTATATTAGTAATTACATTACACTAATAATTATAAAAATGCAAACTCAATTATATTAATAATTAGTAAATGCTAGTTATGTTAATACTGCAAATGTAAACAGAATATTCCAATTAAGTGACAAAGATTATCAGACTATTAAAAAACAAGACTCAACTATATGTTACTTACAAGAGACACATTTTAAATGCAGTCCTGCACCACATAACATGATTTCAGTCAACAACAGACCACAGAGATGATGGTGGTCCCATACAATTACAATACCCAATTTTTACTGTACCTTTTCTATGGTTACATACACAAATACTTACTATTGTGTTATAATTGCCTACAGTATGCAGTACAGTAACATGTTGTACAAGTTTGTAGCCTAGATGTGTTGTAGCCTTAACTACACCTCAGAGAGCCCGGTTGTATAGTAGGCTATACTCAGTGTAAATGCAATCTAGGGTGTTCACACAGCAACGAAATCACCTTACATTTCTCAGAATGCATCCCTGTTGGTAAGTGACATGTGACTGTCTAAAGGCACAGATAGGTTGAAAAAAAAAGATAGAAAAAGAATGCTCATCAAGGCCGGGCACGGTGGCTCACGCCTGTAATCCCAGCACTTTAGGAGGCCAAGGCCGGCAGATCGCCTGAGGTCAAGAGTTCGAGACCAGCCTGACCAAGATGGTGAAACCCTCCCCGTCTCTACTGAAAATTCCAAAATTAGCCCAGCGTGGTGGCGCTTGTCTGTATTCCAAGTTACTCGAGAGGCTGAGGCAGGAGAATAGCTTTAACCCGGGAGGTGGAGGTTGCAGTGAGCCGAGATCACACCACTGCACTCCAGCCCAGGCAATAAGAGGGAAACTTCATCTCAAAAATACAATAAAATAAAAATTCAGAATCTTAGCTGTAAAGGGGAGTCAAGTGGGACCTGGGGTCAAGAAAGGGTTTATCAAATGCATCAGGAAAGAAGGTGGGAGACATCAGACTGGGTGGGAGTAAGTTAGTGCATTTGCTGGTTGAAAGAAATGTAAAAGCTCTCATCTGTGTCTGTGGAAGGTATGAGGAAGGAATTGGGCAGCGGAGACTAGAGGAGAGAGAATATGTAGATTAGTGATACAGGAAAAGACCATAATTGCAGAGGTGTAATAGGATACTTATGTTGAAAGTTAATCTGAGATTTGGGTCATAACTCAGAATTGAGTCTACTCAGCTCAGTGGTATGATTTTTAAGAGTTGGGATTCTAGGCAAGTACAACAGAAAAAAAAGGAGAAAAGGATTAAGTAAGGGTGTTTGCAAGGGTGTGGTGAGTGTCGACCTGTGAAATCTAAACTAGACAAGAAAGGACATAAGGACTCCAGGGTGGAATGGTTAGTGAGAAGTGGGAGAAGGTTGGATGACGGCAGAGAACTGCAGGAGTGGGCGAAAACAGAAGGTACCTGTGTCAGGGAATGGGATATTTGAAATCAGATGTTCGGATATGCTGCAGTTATTGGCGACGACGAAACCTTGGATATGACCATACGACGACAGTTGAGACGGGAAGTAAAGACCATTGGAACTAACACAGTCACTTAGAAATCAGCATGTAAACCGTCTCTGTGGAGGTTACGGTGCCAGGAATGATCAGCAGGAATAATGGTAGATCCAGGGGCTGAAATCGGTGAATCAAGTGAGTGACCAGGAAGGTGACAGCAATGAGAAGCACTACCAGTAGGAACATCCAAGCACAGTTTTGTTTTGTTTTGTTTTTCTTTGAGACGAAGTCTAGCTCTGTTGCCCAGGCTGGAGTGCAGTGGTGCAATCTCGGCTCACTGCAATCTCCACCTCCCAGATTCAAGTGATTCCTCTGCCTCAGCCTCCTGAGTAGCTAGGATTACAGGCATGCGCTACCACGCTCGGCTTTTTGTATTTTTTTAGTAGAGACGGGGTTTCACCATGTTGGGTGGACTGGTCTCCACCTCCTGACTTCTTGATCCGCCCGCCTAGGCCTCCCAAAGCGCTGAGATTACAGGCGTGAGCCACCGTGCCCAGCCCCAAGGACAGGCTTTTAAGGAAGAGAAGAGGCTTTGGTAGATTTGAACATCAGTAACCCAAGATGATGAGTATGCAAGGGGCCAACCGCACACCGGCTTTTGGAGTTACAGTGCCCAAGAATGATTTAAAAGATTTTCTCCAGCAGCTTGCCTCACGCACAGCAGTCCTGCAGCTGTGCTAGTATTGGGGGTGCTGAGTAAACCAGGGGATGAGGGACTGGAGAGGCTTCAAATGTAGCTTGCGTGGCCACACTGCAGATGTGTTAGTTTTAAGGGAACACGATGAGCCTGCTTTTGAGTATTTTGTTCCCTTTTTTCACTTGCATGTCTTAGGTTTGAACTTAATTATTAACATGCTTATTTTTCATCTTCATAAATATGTTGAAATTTGAGGGGAACTCATAAACATTTGCACCTATTTATAAGACTTTTTCCCAAGTGATTAGTCTCACAAAGTTCACCTTTGTTCTGTCAAATAGGTGAGCATTTTCAGTCACTTGTAATGAAAACTGCTGGAAAGTAAATATTTTCCTTCCCACTTCCAAGGTAACGGCGGGGGGGGGGGGGGGGGGGAGGGGGCAGCGGGGTAAACGAGAGAAGTTACCATGTTACCAGACAGTGGAAAATATTTTGTTGAACAATATACAGAACTAAGTCTGGTACCATGTCACCTCATATAGGAATGGATGCGGAAATGAGACAGAGTATTTCTATGATACTCTCCTAAAAGCCTCCTACGCTTCCTTTTTTCCAATAAAAACTAAGCAGCATTTGAGTACTGAAACCTTTATTCCCATTTTACTGGAACGTAAACAAAGAACATTAACAATGTACTAGTCAGAAAAAAAGTGTTTTATAACCGAAAACAAATATTTGCCAAGAGCTGTAAATTGCTTTAATCGCTTAAACTGGAGACTTCAGTGTGATTTTTAGCAGATTACCAAGCTCCTTAGTTATAGAACATTCAAGGCATAGAAAAGTGTTTTTCTTACAAAGCACAACTGAAATGTAGTTTAACTAATGGTTTACAATTCAGTCAACTACCAAAGCTGCAAACCATTTAGGGAGTCATCAATTACATAATTTGTACACTTTCAAAAAGCTTACAGCTGGGATGGGTTGTTTTCAAAGCATGGCTGCTTTAAAATGATCATATTCATTAGCCTGCCACCTAGGAAGCATTAAGCGTTTACTTGCAGAATGAACGAGCGCGTTGTCTTGTGTTACGAAGTAGAGAATATAGTTCATTTTAGTTTCTTCATTCGCAGACAATCAGGCTCATTTCCCGTGACTGCTTGCACTTAGAACTCAGTTATCACGGGGTGGGAACTCTCCAACATCGTCGTCATAGGCCAAGAGATGCCCGAGAACAGCCATGAAAGTGCCAGTCAGGGAAGGATGCAGTGCTTTGTTTTACAGTTGTCGGATAGAGGCACAGGATCATTTCACGTTGTTGAGGAGAAAGGAGAAACAGCCTCCTCCCACCTTGTTAAAAAAAGAGATTTAAAAAAATCTCTAATTTCCTCGAAGTACGGAATCTCAAAAGAGGTAGCTCTAAGGAGAATCCCTCCGGGTTTGAGCGCATTCCTCTTCCAGGGGGCCTATTCCACTCTCGGACTGCTTTCCTTAACAGAAATCTCCGAGCCAAAACTCGGCCTCCCCCAACTCCATCCTGTCGGCCCCGCTTTTCTGCTCCGGAGACTTCCAGGCCAGTCCCCACTCCTCCTCCAGTCAGTCGGGCACCCGCGGCCGGCAGGGCCAGCCCTCTCCTCCCCCTGCGTGGCGCGGCACAGGCCGGAGCGCGCGACCCCAGGCCCTGGGCGCCCCGCCGCATGCTCGCGTGGCCCTTCGAGTTATTCCGCTAAAGAGCCGCCGCGTCGCCCCACCTCGGCGCGAATCTGAAAGCGTTTTCGGGGGAGAAGATGTTGGGGGCACTGGTGAGTCCACCGCACAAGTGACAAAATGTTTTCAGCTCCTGGAGGCGAAGGGCGCAGAGCCGCTGTGTGTCCGTGAGGCCGGGCGGCGACCTCGCTCAGTCGGCTCCTCGGTCCGAGTCCCGGGGTACGAGGAAAGACCACAGGGGGCTTCTCGCGGAAAAGCGGGCCCCGGACCCCGCGTGCGTTGGCGGGGGCGGGCGGATGACGAGGCGCGGGGGCATGGGTGGGTCTGAGGCGGCGGGTCCGGGCGTCTCAGGCTCCGGGGCTCCCTCGCTGGCGGCGGCACAGGGATGGCGCGCCCGGGGGTGAGGGTGCGGCGGGTCACAAGCACTCGCAGCCCGCGGCGCAGCAGCCCGGCAGGCACACGCACACGTGCACGCGCGCCCCGCACCCGCCCCCCGTACGGCGCCCGGCTCGGGGCGGCGGCGGCGCGCGGGCCTGGGCGCGCCGGACCCGGGCGCCGGCTGGCCCCGGGACCCCGCGGGCGCGCAGGGGGGAGGGCGCTCTGGGGGCCGCCCGCCGCGGCTCCCCATCCTCCGGCTCCGCGGGGCGAGGGGAGGCGCCCGCCGGCTCCGGGCGCGGCGGGCGGGACACGGGCGCGGGGCGCAGGCGGGCTCCTCCGGCGCGCGCGGGCGCTGAGCTTGGCGTGTACCTCAGGTCTGGATGCTGGTAGCCGGCTTCCTGCTGGCGCTGCCGCCGGGCTGGGCCGCGGGCGCCCCGAGGGCGGGCAGGCGCCCGGCGCGGCCGCGGGGCTGCGCGGACCGGCCGGAGGAGCTCCTGGAGCAGCTGTACGGGCGGCTGGCGGCCGGCGTGCTCAGCGCCTTCCACCACACGCTGCAGCTGGGGCCGCGCGAGCAGGCGCGCAACGCGAGCTGCCCGGCAGGGGGCAGGCCCGCCGACCGCCGCTTCCGGCCGCCCACCAACCTGCGTAGCGTGTCGCCCTGGGCCTACAGGTGAGCTGCGGGCGCGTCCCGGCGGGGCCCGGCAGGTGGGGAGGGCAGGGCGGGGCGGGGAGAGTGGGTGGGGCCGGGCCGAGGCGGGGCGGGGCGACGCGGAGGGGGCGTGGCACGCGGGGGAGGCGGAGCAGGTAGGGGTGGGGCGGTGCGGGGCGAGACCGGGTGGGGTGCGGTAGGGTGGGGTGGGGTGCTGGAGGCGCTGCGGTGAGGTGGGGCGGGGCAGTTGGAGCGCCGGGGGACAATTCCTAAACCGCGAAGTCCCACCCCCACCACCTCCCCTGAAGGAGTCCCGCTTCCCCTCTTTACCCTCCAGTATTTCCTATGCAATACGTGTCTCTCGGACACCTAATCTCTGCCAGGTTGGATGGGTCCACAAGGCACTAGCCAGGGACCCTTCCGTGATGTGGACACAGTGATGTGGACCGTCCTCTGCACAGGGGGCCCGGGGAGGTGTTGCTGGCGCGGTACTGTCCACATATTCCTTGAGTGCCCCTGTGGTCCAGAGGCTGCTGGAGCGCAGCCCTGGGAGGCGCCCTCTGAGCCCCTCTAGTTTAACAGCTTAAGGGAGGAGTGGGGAGGATTGGGAAGGAAACCACAGCACCAGGCAGTGACATGAACAGTTCGGAGAGTGTTTTGGTCATGGAACAGAGGTCACTTCAGAAGAAAGGGACAGCCTGCAAAAGGGGGAGGCTGGGGAAGTTGGGGGCGTGCAGGCAGGGTGCGGTGGTGTCCTCAGCAGGCACCTGTGATGTCTTCCCTCTAGCTGGAGCAGGAGGAGCTGCCCGAGGGGGCGAGGCTCACAGGGCCACAGAGGTCAAGAAAGGCTTGGTGAGAGAGCTGAGTCTTGATGGAGAAGAGCAAGTCGCCTACAAAGGCAGTGCTGAGGGAGGGGACCGCTGATGGCAAGCGGGGACAAAGCGCTCGGAAAATGGGGAGAGCCACAAGGCGGACGGGGGGTGTAGGCGAGGTGTTTGCCTGTGGGATGGGCATCGATATGAGGCTGGAGACAGGCGCAGGAGCTGGATCCCGGCCTTGTCAGCAATGCGGAGCTTCACCGTCAGGCCTGGAATCCCAGCACTTTGGGAGACTGAGGCGGGAGGATTTAAGTCCAGGAGTTCGAGACCAGCCTGGGAAACATAGCGAGATCCTGTTTCTGCAAACACTTTTTTTTGTTGTTTTTTGAGGTGGAGTCTTGCTCTGTTGCCCAGAGACGGGGTTTCACCATGTTAGCCAGGATGGTCTCAATCTCCTGACCTCGTGATCTGCCCGCCTCAGCCTCCCAAAGTACTGGGATTATAGGCATGAGCCACCGTGCCCGGCATCTGCAAACAATTTTAAGGATTAGCCAAGTGTGGTGGCACGTGCCTGTGGTCCCAGCTACTCCAGAGGCTTAAGTGGGAGGATTGATTGAGCCCAGGAGGTTCAGGCTGCAGTGAGCTGTGGTGGCACCACTGCCTTCCAACCTGGGTGACAGAGCGAGACTCTGTCTCTAAAATAAAAATTAAAGAAAAAAAAAAAAGGCTTGACACTTGAGATCGAGGAAGCCATACAGCCACTCTGCTTTAGGAGGGTGTCCCACTGGGGCATGGACTGGACAATGCGGGCGCTCCAACGCTCCATCCAAAGGACCTAGGGCTTCACTCAGGCAGCCCGGTGGGAAGGGGAGACTAGGACCAGCGTGAAAGATGCTCTTTAAGAAGACAAGTGCTGTGGAGAGTCACAACAAATGTGATGATTTTGTCTAAAACGCATCTGGGCTTCCCCGGAGCCTCTCCCTGCCGGCTGGTGGGTAGGGAGATTTCCTTTTACTCGACAACACACAGGACCCCTAGGCTGTCCTGGGAAGCCCAATTTTAGGGCCTCCTGGCTACTCTACAGAGGACCAAGCTCACTGTGGCAGAGCCCCCTCAGAGCCCCTGCCCACGGGGAAGTTGGGTGGGACCCTTCCGCCCTTCTCACTCCTGTGCTTCAGCTGGAGCCTGCAGGGCACACACATGGTGCCGTTCATTTTGGTGTCTTGGTGCTCTTGCTTTTCCTCTCTCTTCCCTCCATTTCCAGGACCCGAAGGGACGGGCTATGGCATTCTTCTTTCTCCAACCTTGTGGTATGCCTCTGATATGCCAAATAGGATTGAAGCCACATGGGGAATCTCTCAGAACCAGAGTCTAACTTCTCTGGACAGAAGCTGCTGGCCCTGCATCTTTCTGTATCAGATTCGAACTCTCAGGCAAACCCATGGCTCCCCACAGGCTGGGCCGAGGGCCTAAGAGTAGCACACAGCCTCCCAAAGGCACGTCTCCCGTGTTTCTGGCTCGGGTTGTTGATGGTATTTGAGCAAAATGGGAAAATAGACTTAGGAACAAGTGTTGTGGGAGGAAATAATGAATTTAGTATCAAGCCTGTTGAGTTTTGCCTGCCTGAAAGGTGTACAGGTGACAATGACCGGTTGGAGCTCAGAAGACAGAGCAGGGCTGGAGGACATATTGAGAGTTAGCAGCCCTGGCATTCTGTGTGTGGGAATTTAAATTGAGTTGCCCTTGCTACAGATGACACCTGTGTCGCCCCAGGCAGGATCTGGGAGCAGAGGGAGGTTATGGATGAGAATGACACACGGGGTTCCGGGAGCACGGTCTGGGCCACCCAGATCTGCCCATGTGTGGAGCCTCAGTGCTGGGGGGTCCCAGGAGCAGGAGTGACAGTTGCAGCAGGTGGCTGAAGGTGTCGTGTGCATCATTTTTCATATTATTTAGCAGCAGTGATGAGATCACTCCCCATGGGCAAACAGAGGTGGGTGGCTTACATTTGCTGAAGGAAAAACAGTCTTCAGGGGATGGCTGCTGGGCTGGGACTCCAGACTGCTGACTGCCAAAGCTGCTCATGCATTTTCCTGCCAGGAGAGCCCTCTCTGCCCTTCTCCCTCCGATCACCTCTCACCATCTCCTGGGTTACTGGGAAGATTAGAAAAAGTGAGACCCAGCCAGGCCCAGTGGTTCACACCTGTAAATTCCCAGCTACTCAGGAGGCAGAGGTGGGAGGATCACTTGAGCCCAGGAGTTTTGAGACCAGCCTGGGCAACATAGTATGAGACTCTTATCACTACAAAAAAATTGAAAACTATTAGGCAGGTGTGGTCATGTTTGCCTGTGGTCCCAGCTACTTGGGAAGTTTGAGCCAGGAAGGCTGAGGCTGTGGTAAACTGTGATTGGGCCACTGCACTGTGGCCTGGGCAACAGAGTGAGAACTTGTCTCAAAAAAAAAAAAAAAAAAAAAGCAAAAAGTGAGCCCACGGAAGTGTGGAGCCTCTAGTGAAAGGTTTTGTGGAAGGCCAGGCTTTGTTTTTTTAGACAGAATCTCGCTCTGCCACCCAGGCTGGAGGACAGTGACACAAACAGCTCAATGCAGCCTTGACCTCCTAGGCTCAAGGGATCCTCCTACCTCAGCCTCCCATGTAGCTGGGACCACAGGTGTGCACCACCACATGTGGCTAATTTTTGTTTTGTTTTGTTTTTTAGAGATGGGGGTCTCGCTTTGTTGCCCAGGCTCGTCTTGAATACTTGGGCTCAAGTGACCCTCCTGCCTCAGCCTCTCATAGTGTGGGACTGCAGGTGTGAGCCATAGTGCGAGGCCAGGGCTCGTTCCTTGGTGGAGTGTCTGAGAAGAGTGCCCACCTGCAGGCTGGGCACCGGTCAGGTGGTATTTCTTTCTTTTGAGACACGGTTTTGCTCTGTCACCCAGGCCAGAATGCAGTGGCATGGTCTTGGCAGACTGCAGCCTCCGCCTCCTGGGTTCAAGCGATTCTCCTGCCTCAGCTTCTGGAGTAGCTGGGATTACAGAGGCATGCCACCACGCCCGGCTAATTTTTGTATTTTTAGTACAGACGGGGTTTCGCCATGTTGGTCAGGCTGGTCTTGAACTCCTGGCCTCACGTGATTTGCCTGCCTTGGCCTCCTAAAGTGCTGGGATTACAGGCCTGAACCACTACTCCCTAAAGGCACAGCAGTCAGAGAGAATGCTGAGAAAGACAGGTGGGGAGATGGACTGAACATCAGGAGTACTGATGGGCACAGCAAGGATCACTTTAGGTGGGTAAGTTTTACAGTAGGCATTTGGAAGGTGGCTTTCCATATGGATGGAATGGAGAGATGGGTCATTCAGTAAATGCTGTTGGGACAGCCTGGGTCTCACTCTTCTGTGAAAATAAATTCCAGATGAATCAAAGATTTAAATGTAAAAAATAAAACCACAAAAGCAGAGAAAAACACAAGCAATTATATTTATAATCTTGGAGTGGAGGAGGCCCTATTTAGCTGCTCATAGTCCCCAAAAGTCACAGAAGACAAGATTGAGAAATGAAGTTACATAATTATACACCGTTTCTTCTTGGCAAAGTAAAGTAAGAAAAATACAAGGGCAAACTGGGAAAAAATGTTTGCAACCCAAGGCACAAAGAGCTCCCACAAATCAGTAAGAAAAGGACCAGCGACGTCATGGAAAGATGAGCAAAGATCGGTACTGTTCCCAGGGAAGGAAGGTCAAATGACTCAAACGCTCGATACAGAAAGCCACGCTAGCTTCAGGCATAAGCGAAGTGCATGTGGAGACTCTACTGAGCAGCCCTTTTTTTTTTTTTTCCTGGCACCCAGCAGGCTACGTTGGCAAGGTTGTGAAGGAAAGGCATTCTCGTCCAACTACAGGGGTATGAATCAGCACAACTTTTATGGAGGGCAATTTGGTATAAATATCAAGATTTTAAATTCACACACCCTTTGACTATTTCAGATACACTTGCCCATGTGCCGAATGATATGCGTACAAGGATACGTGTTCACTGCTGTAATAGCAAGAGATTGGAAGCCACCTAAACACCCCCAACAGGCACTGAGTTAGACACTGTACCCTGTGAGGAAGAACCAGGTGCACCGAGTTAGACACTGTACCCTGTGAGGAAGAAGGAGGCAGCTCTAAGAGTCATAAGTGGATCAATCAATCACCAATAC